AAATTAATATAACATTACAATAAAATATGCCGCAGGAGTATGACTTGCTACATCGTAACAATAATTGATATTTTTATGATCCTCGATCGTGATGTCTTGAAATAGTTAATTTAATCCTCAAATACAAAAGGAAAACCATCACCTTTTTTCAGGCTTTTACAGCTGAGTGTGCAAACAGAATGATTTTTGATTCTCCTAATATGTAGACATTGGAAAATGAATGACAATATTTTTTATGTACCATTCTAATCTGTAAAATATTTTTCTAGAAATATAGGAAAGAAATTCGATGACGTAAGCTCTTGCTAAATATCATCTTGGCTGCCAATGATGATGGCTCTGTTAGTTTTTGTATTGATTCTGTTTTCATTTTCGACTCATCATTATTTTGTTTTTTTTTGTATTTTTTTTCAGCTCGGGAACGTTAAATTATTTTTCAGAGTTTATAAAGATATATGCATATCATTTTCTTATATAAGACCACTCAAACTCCAATTCGAGGGTATAAAAAATATTTTAGATTTTTAGTTGTGATGTTTGATCCATAATTCCGAACATCGAAAATATCACACAAAGTTCATATCTCTCAAGTAATGAATGAGCAAACTAAATTTTTCTTTTTTAAACATAGTTGATTCTATATATCCATCTGCTTTTTGGCCTTCCACGTGGTCTTTTGCCTTATTTTGAGGCATTCATTGCTACGTAGACTCTTCCAGATGGGTTGTTACGAGCTATAAGCCCCGCCCATCTTGACAACCGTGCCTTCATAACATGAGATATTGATTGACAAGTTTCTGTAAGCAGTTCTTTATTACTCGTTCTTCTTCACGTGCTACAACTCTGATTCTGCAGATCGCGTCGGTTATCGTGCGGAGCATTTTTCTCTCAAATCTTTCTACATTTTTTTCTAGGGTGCTGGCTATTGTCCAGGTCTCACAGCCATATACATTAGGGTTGGTTTTATCATAGCATTGCACATACTAAATTTGAGATAAAGAAAGCTCTGTTTGCGCTAGTTATATGCTGGTCTATTTCTGCTCGTTGGTTCATTCATTGAGGATATTGTGAAGCCGAGGAAGTTTTTTCTTTTTTTTTTTAATTTTTCTACTCTCCGGAATAATTATCCTTCTACACAGACCCTGTTACTGTTGTATTTCTTAATCAAACTAAAATATTTAAAGGGCATATTGCAAAATATAATGAATTCCGTATTTTTTTTACTGTTTTTAAGAACGTTTACAAGATTTCCGCGATTAATAATTGAAATCTGTTTTAGATGGCGATAGATTCGAATGCTTAGTTATCTTTGTTTACGAAATTTGAGTTATTTAATTAAATCATGTCCATCGTTTAATTTTAGCAAAATAAATAAATAACCTTAAATAAGTGTAGAAACTACTATAAATTAGACAAATAGTTTTCTATTTATTTATTTACACACGAAATAATCTCTGTTCCTTACATTTATAAACTACAATATTAATCATTAATGAAAATAATTAGTACGGTTTGTAATTAATAAAATTAATCTGTTTTACTTATTATTAGATAATTGACAGACAGACAAATTATCAACAGATTTTCCGCCTCGTATTAAAAAAGAAATTGCCGCAATATCGCCATAACAAGTTTAAATTGCGTTTCTTAAATCTCAGATCATTTTCTTGCCAATCAAGTGTATTTTAAGGGTCATTTTCTAAGCAAAATAAAATACAACTTCGTCCTTCAATTGGGATTCTAACATAACAATCATTCGGATAATTGTAGTCGTCCCCTAGTTTTAAAATTCTTAATTTGTTGAAAAACGAGAACTAAATGATAAATTAGCTTTAAAGTGACGCGAGTGTAATTTGCATTATTTACAATAATTAGCGAGTTGATTGCGCTACCATTAGATGACTTGGACTTTTTTTGATGATGATATATTTTTGTTTCATTTTTTTTAATAGTTTAAATAACTAAGCGATTTGTTATTATTTTATAAGTATAATTACAAATAAACCAAGGATATATAAATCTGCTTTCAATTAAAATTAAATATAAAATATCATATTTACTAATATTATAAATAATATATTTTAGGAGGGTAGTAAAATGCTTTATTTCCAAGATATGCATAGTGTCGGAAGAACATTTTGAACACGTTAAAAGTTTACAATGTTTTGGTTATGGATTATTGCTTTAAAAAAAAAAAATATGATGGTCTGTAGTGTCAATAGTATAACTTCAATTTTGATACCATCTTAAAATTTCCACCTAAACTAGAGCCCTTTCGCTTTTAGAAAATAGATAAACACTTGTGGTGCTTAATTTGGGTAATTTTAAAGGATATCAGAATTTCTATAATATCTATAATAAAATGAATCCTTAATTTAAATTAATAATAAGGCTTTACAAGCCTTACTAACGCAGCTAATCATTTTTTTTAAAAATAAATTATCTAACGTTTCGGGCTGAATATTAAGAACATCTTCAGGAGAAGACCAACTAGGCTAAAGCATTTTGTTAACATTTCTAAATAAGTTATGCTGTCGATTTTCTTTTTTGGAGAAGATGTCAGTCATTTTCGTTTGACATTTGAGAATCGTCAACAAGCGACTAACTGAAAAAGTTTTAATGAGCATGGAATTTCTAGTGAAAGGGTAAATATCTATTTTGGGTAAGATATTTCACTCAGGGACAAGAGAGTTTCAGTATTTGCCTTATTAGTTCTAATGTAAAATTAGTAATTATATCTAATATAATTATACGTAAATAATAGAAGTCTATTATCAAAAGTACAGAAGCTGAGTCTTTTGATCTAGATCGTGGATTTTTTTTTTATTTCTTAAAATGAAAGAATCTACTCTCCCTCCCCCCCCCCTCTCCCGATCTGTCCAATGGATCATAGAGTTGAAGGTTTCAAAATTCGTGAATTTAAGTCCATGTGCGTTTAGTATTCGTTTTAAAGCCTAAAAATTACTCTTTTTGGAAATAAACTGCAATTCTTGCCGGAAGCCACTTAGATGTTATAGTTGTCATTTTATTATCTCGGATTTAGGTTTTAAAAATTAAAATATTGTTTTTTATGTCAGTCTCCAAGGAACTAAAAATATACTGAAAAGGTTTATGGAGAATAATAACTCTATAATACTTTGCAATGAGCAAATTTTTTGGCAACTTCACAGCGTCCCATTACATATCCAGGAAGCAGATCAGTTCATCAGGTCTCTTGGCCACCGCCTACGTAATCTTTGAGGTGGGCTGTACGGGTTTCCAGTGCGTTTAAAGTTTTCTATCAAAGAATTTATGTTGTAAGTTTATAACTTCGGCGGTGTATAAAATTGTTGGGATGTTCAAGTCTTTATGTAATATATCGTTTGCAACATAATTATAATATAATAAATATCTAGGTATGAATTCTAAACTCTCATTAATAGACTTCTATTACTCTTAGTGAAAGACATACAGACCAACTAAACTTTCTGAGCCAATCAAATAAGTTTTAAGGAAGTACAACAAGTTCAGTCTTATGGATAGTTGTGTCTTATTGTTTTACCGTTAAACTGGTGATATATTTGCCAGTGTGAGCAGCTAATCACTTGTTAAGAACTAAATTGCTACTTAAGCAGGATTGGTAAAGAATGAAAATTCACCAGTTGTGGGTTGACTAGACAATCTCGATTATATTATATTGTATTTGTTTACTATACTTTTTCGTTTGATACCGGAAAAAGGAGCTTAACCACCGTGTTATATTTAGTGTAATAATACTGTATTATAGTTAGTGTAGTTGTCTTATGGAATCTTTCGTCTGACTACCCCTGAAGAAAGCCTGAACTTTGGCCGAAACGTCGGCAAAAAATAAATATAATTTATTTACTTTTTGTTTTACTGAACACCCCAACCAATCTTCTCTTCTATATGTAGTGCAGATTATTATAAAATAGTTTACCTGGTCTAAGTTCAATGAGAGGTGAGCCCCATCACCCTTGGGATTAACAGTAAAAATAGATATTAAAAGAGGATTCTGCTCCAACACTTACTAGACAAACGCTCTAAACTTTCAATTAATTACAAAATACTTATCTACATAACTATAATAAGACCTGTATGGGCATACGGAGTTGGGCTTTGGGGCTCCACCAAACCATCGGTTTCCTGTCGTATCTAATCCTTATATATTGTATATAGGTATGTATGTGTTCTTTTTATGTATTAATTTTTAGGTTATTTTATTCTTATTTATTGTATATATATATTATTTATATGTATAATTAATTTTTTTATTGTACATAGAGTGTGAATGTGATCTCTGAGCACTATTATAAATGTCCTTTGAGACAGAATGTAATATTTTTCAATAATAAAAAAAAAGAGTTTGAAAAAAAAAATTCTTAAAATCCAAAATCCTTAGTGCTCCATACTTTGTCACAAATAAAACCATTCATAAAGACATTAACGTATAGCCAGATATCTATCCTTTCATGATAAACTCCAGTCCCATCCAAATCCCCTCGTTTCCACCCTTGCTACTTCCTCGATTCCTGATAATCCTCTTTGGCGACTGAAAAGGAGATGGCCTCGTGATCTTCTTACCTAGAATTATTTAGCGAGTGCTACCACTGGGTAGTATCTCTTCAAGCCTGTTCATGTCATTATTTATAATTTGTGCATATTTACTAGTTGTATTTGTATACAGTTGTAAATTTCATTAAATAAACAAAAAAAAAAAGAAGATTGTTCAGAAAGATCTTAAAGTGTATCTGAGATAAAAGGAAATCTAAAAGCAGTTAACCTTCAAGTTAACTGGGGATACGAAAAAAAAAAAAGGTTAAATAGAACTTATTTATAATTAAATGGGACATATTTTTTATTTGAGAATTCTATATATAACAAATTATAATATGGAAGCAAATTGAGTCAAATTTCCTTGAAGTCGATGTGGTGGTGGTGGTGGTGATACCGTCGGGGACAATGGAGTGGGGGACAGAGCAAGGGTGGATGAGAGTTAGTCGGCCGTGAGCTGGTGATCTCTCGACTTCTCGGTGGATCAGTGACCCGTGTGTTCTGTGTTCGCTTCTCCAGCTTCTTTTCTTCAAATTTATATTTCACTTCTCCCTCCTTGGTGAGTATATAACGAAAAATTATTTTGAATCATTTAAATCACTTTCTCTCTGTATACTGGCTGGCAAGTACATGTGGGTTAAAAGAGGATGATTTTTCGACTTGAAGTCGTATGTAAAGTTTCATCGATACAAGCTTATATATCATAATATATTTTAATTTAATGAAAAACACTACAATTTATCGAAATTGGGGTCCTCATTAATTTGATTACGTGACTAAATTTTTTAAAACCTCACTTGAGAGAAACTCATTATTAATTGCCTACATAATATAACTTTTATTACAAAGGAAAAAAAAATATAGTGAAAACAGAAAAAAAAAATATATATATACATTATTTTCTGAAAAAAAAAATGAAAAGATATATTCAATATGTATTAATAAACATTTTTTGAACACATACCAAAATATACAATTATCCTCAAGTTTGTGAAATTGCAGGAATGCTTAGAAAGTTTGACATAACAATTACAATTTTTTTAAAAAATCTAAAACCTGTTTCTGTATCTCATCGACAGTTTAACTCCCTTGGTTATTTTTTGTAGTAGGTTACTTTCTAAACCTTCTATTGGCTAGCCTTGAAATAGCTATCACTTCTAATAGAAGTGGAGAACGTTTTTCCAGAACTATTTTAAAACGTTTGGAAATACACAATTATTGGTTAAGACAATTATTGTTTAAATTATTTTCCTAAATTGCACCGTAATAGGCCAAGATTATTATGAAAAAACAAAGTGTTTATAAAGTGGATTACAATTATATTTTTTTTTTGTTCATATCAAACAACCTACCTCGTAGACCTATATCGGTAAGATAACATTTAGCAGATTTCATTAACAAAATAATTGGTCTGACCATGATTATTTAATTAATTATAATTTTATAAATAATTTATTTAACAATTAAATTAATAAAATTCATCAATGAATAATAATAATTATTAACATCTCAAAAGTAATCTACTGAAACAATTGTACATACCATTCTAGGAATTTATTCTGAATGCCGTTTATATCCAAGGAGATGAAATCGTCTAATCTTTATCGTATTTTTTCCGCATTAAATCGCCATAAATATTTTTATGTTATTCGGAAATTGATTCCGTAATTCAGTTTTGAAATGTATTTGTTTACTTATCCAAATATTTCCGACTATAAAAGTGATATTTAATACTGCGCGATTAATTTTCTTCTTATGTTGAGTCTTGCTAAACACTAAGAAATTTATTAATAATATTTTTAAAAATCGTCCTGCAAAATTAGGCTTAATTTCTTTTCTCGTTGAATAACAACATCAATCTATTTACTTATATATATATATATATATATATATATATATATACCTAATTGTTGATTGCACACAATCATAATTAATTTAAGTTTAACCAAAATGAAAAGAAATTAAAGCATAAAGAAAATAAATATATTTAAATAAAAATAAAAGAAAATGAAAATTGCTTACGCCATTTATTTATAAACCTAACATGATTTATTTTTTAAATTGAATGGCTTCAACAATAAAATTCGTGTCTCGACTGAACCATAGCCCTAATGATGACCCACATGTTTGGTTCGAAACGTCGACTGACTAATTAAAGAAATTTTGACTGAAATTCCAAAATATTTTTTCATCCTCATAAATTTAACAGTCTACTACTTATCCATTTATAACTTATTTTTTAAATTATAATTATTTATTTTATATTTTATATATATATATATATATATATATATATATATATATATATATATATATATATATATATATATATATATATATATATAATGGGACAAAAATAATGATAATTAGGGCCTATTTTCTAGGAGTGTAAATAATTAATTTTGCATTAAAAGTTGGAATAATTTCAGATACCGTGAAAACTTTCTAAAATTCCTTCGACCCTTAAGACGAAAACAATTTTTTTTTTTGGTTTTTATTATTTTTACATTTCGGTTAAATGATACTAAGAAGTATAATTAAATTCCTATATTTTATAAAATAATATTACAGCTAAATAAAACGTCCTTGTTTTGTGTCTATATTCCGAATTATTATAATAATTATCAATTTCTGTCCCTCAACCATGAGTTTTTATTATTTTGCATTGGATTCATTCGGAAATATAATTTTTTAAATATTTTTTTCATAATTATAATAGGAAAACTATAATGGAATTGAATACAAATTTGTAACATGATAGAGATTGAATATAACCTTTTTTTTTTCTCAATGCGCTATAGATTTTATTTCAATCAATGAAATCATTAACCTGAAAACAATGAACTGTTCCTAATGATCTATAATAAAACAATTATTACTGATGATGGTCGAATGACATTCTTTAAGAATTTTATTGAAAAATATCTCGACAATGCAGCAATGTAGAATAATTTAAACTATATCCTTGCTTCGAAAATGTTACTGAGACAATGAAAGTATGGTAATATATATTAAAAAAAAAATAATGATAATTTTTACGCATTTAAATAAAATTATAATACCTTAATGGTAGAAAAAAAGCACCAAAAGTAAGAGAGAGACCTCATCAACAAAGATAAGACCTGCATGCAGATAACTGAAAGAATAGGCTATGATCGGCAGACATGAAGAAGGATGAATAAGGTGGCAAAAGATCTACGTCTGTAAATACCATACTAAATTTATATGTTTTAAGTTCATAAGAATTAAAAAAAAAAAAGTCCTTACTTTTAAGTACACTTGGTTCTAAACTTCTTGACCTTGCAATGAGACTTTTGCGAGAACTAGGTAGAAGCTAATTTAGGGTCTTGAAGAGCACAAAATGTTTTGATAAAATTTCCACGATAGTCAAGAAAAACAGAACCTTTTAAAAAGAATAATACTGAAACATTTCAAAAACAAAATATTAATCCTGTCAAAAATCAACAAATAATATTGATATTTGCAATGTTCGGTCACTTCTTGGTATTTTTTTTTTTTTTTACTGTTGAAATGAGATGTGCGGTTTCTGATTCATATGTTTTCTGACCCAGAGATGTATTTACTGGTGTTTCAGAGACCTAACCTCTAGTCTCTAATCTGATATTTTGTGATTTCGGCAACATTTAATAATCCGGCAATCCGATGAGTTGGCATATCTATAAGAATTAGAAACTATATTGAGATGTCACAAGAACGAAATCATGGGAACATTAACATTAGATGAAAGGATTTTTTTTAAGTTTTTGGTAAAAGTGACATGTTAGCTAGAAGTGACAAGGAGTGCGGTATAATGCGACATAAAGTGAGAGGACCAAATTGTATCGTTTCTCCAAGATAATGGATATGATTAAAGTTGTTAAAGAGTAAAAAAAAATCTATTATTATTCAAAAAATATTATTACTTTCTCTTACCCATATATATAATATATAGTAAGTGTAAGTATTGCGATCGTGAAAATTTTTGAATCTGAGTTTTCAACGGAAATACGTCTTTTGAGGTACCCTGAGTACAAATAACCAAGTCTCGCCAAAATGGTCTGTGTATGTGTGCGTTAACAGTCTAGCTCAAAAACGAAAAGTCGTACAAAAGTGAAATTACATATTTAAGGTTTTTATATGCTAGGGATGTAACAGCAACTTTTTCGTCAAAATCGACTGACCACAAGTGGCACTTTATATTATGGGCTAAACTTATTTTTACAATTTTCTCGGAAACGGCTCAAACGATTTTGATTAAATTCATTATAACAGTTTAAAATTAGGCAGTTATGAATAAAATGTAGTTTTTATTCTGATTGATGTTCTCTAACAGGGCTTAAAGGGCTAATTTTCAACATTCGCTTCCCCTAAAGTACCTTTATTTTTTTTTATTTGAAACAATTGACCATTTCACATTAATCTCTAATGTAAAAGATAGTCAAATATAAAATATGAAAGAATTTGATAATTAACTAAAGGAGAAATAAGAGATCGTAACGGAGAATAGTTGGAATTGAGGAACCAAATGAATACTCACCCGAAATATTAGAACACGCTTCCATACGTAACATGAGCTTAATATAATACAGGCTCCGACAATATTATGTAAATATACATATGCGGTTTTCATAAATGCTATTGTTGGTATAATTTAATTGTATAGATTATAGCGATATAAATATTAAAATTTGTTTATATAAGAGTATTTATACGAATAAAAATACCCACAATTAAATATAAATAAATATAGTGTCTGCAATTTTTCCTTTTACTTCCTCCTTGTCTGAAAATACTTATTTCTGTTAAGAAGAAGGTAGTAAGTGAATGTTGTGTGATGCCTGCACCGCACCAGATTTTTTTTCTATCGGAAAGCTACATCCTACAGTCCAATATACTATTGTCGTTAAATTTTAACATTTATTCTATAAATATCACAATATATTCTTACATAAGGGGCAGGATATATCGGCATTATAAAACCACCTGCGGCAGTCCACGTTAGGATGGTCGCCAAGAAGTAGGACTCCAGGCTTTCTCTGTAGCTCTGTCACTTTCCATCTGCATTTTCTGTACGTCCGTTTGCAAAATCTCTCCTACTTTATATGTGTATGTATAAAATGTTCAATCTGGAGGTCGGCAAACTTTGTCTGTTTAATTAGGTACCGAAAACTCGTAAAAACTCATTTGCTTTCTACTTGAATCGTAAGATAATTTGGTCACAAAAACGAAAGAAAAAAAAAAAGTGGCCTACAAAAATATTGGACCGTTTGGCCTATATAACCTCGTTATTTTGAAGTGTGTAGGTCACGCAAAACAGTCCAATATTTTAGTATTACACTATTTTTTGTCGATTGTGTGATCAAATTATCTTATGATCCAAGTGGAAAGCAAATAGGCATTTACGAGTTTTTAGTACCTAATAAAATTTACCGATCTTCAGATTGAAAACGATCCAATTTCAAGAATTTTTGTAAAAAATATAGTTGCAGGTTACGATGAAATGAAGCTATTCACGAAGTTTGAGGCAGATGTTAATAATTTGATTAATTTGAGTAGGAG